AATATTATGGCGATTAACGCTAAGTATGGAGAATCAGCACATGATTCATTTGTGTGGAAACATTCCAATGAACGCGCGTATTTCGCGCTTCTTGGTTAGTGTGGTAAATTTGCATATACGTATATACATATGTACATACTTTAACAATATTGCAACAATTGTTTTAATATATGAATAATTGTTTGCTTATAGAGTTTTAGCGTATGACGGTTTTTTAAGATACAGTGTTTGGTTGAAAGCAATATATAAAGACTTGTCCACTAATCAATGTAAATATATTTGTTATTTCTTTTTAGGAGATGGTGGGTATCCTCTTGAACCGTGGTTGTTAACACCGTACAGGACTTCTACTGACATTAGTAGGACCAAGTTTAATGAAGTTCAGGCAAAGGCCAGAAACATTGTTGAATGATGTATTGGAGTTTACAAAGGTTTTACGTGATATTAATTAATCAACTGTATTAGAGGGGAAAAATTAAAATACATTCTTCACTTCTAAGGTCGATGGAGAATTTTAATGGAAGAACGAAAAAGTAAATACGATCCAAAAAAAAATTGCCATTTTTGCGAATGCATGCGCTGCATTACACAACATATGAATTTAATATAATGTCAAACACCTTAACGTTGAAGCGAATCCTTTGAACGACGAAGTTTTTGAACCTGCCGCTGGTACATCTGAAAATTCCCGAAACAGCAACAAACAAATAGCCGAGAAAATAAGGGATAATATAAAAAATTGATTGGCTACAGTTTAGCCAATTAGAAATTAAACAAAATGCATTGGACAGTTCATAACGAAAAATTAGGTTGTTAGGGTGGTCCAAAAGAACACGTGAAAAAGTAAAGTAAGAATAATTATGCTATTTTAGGATTGTTCTATACCGAAAAAATATACCCCTATTTATTATTTTAAAATCAAAAAATATTTATTTTTGAAATCAAAAAATATTTAGGGAGTGCTCACAGCGCTCAAAGTTTTCAATGTATTTTATATGGGGAAAAACAACATATCGTAGAAATAGTGTTGAATTCTGGAAAATCAATATTTTTCGATGGGAAAACTTTGTTTATCTTCAGGAGATTCCCGGTAATAATACCCAATTGCTCCTTTAACCATTTTTTCATGGTAACTATACCTTATAGGTCCTAGAGAATACAATGGGGGGACCAATAAAAAATCTTTAATCATAAAAAATGGTTAAAGGAGCAATTGGGTATTATTACCGGGAATCTCCTGAAGATAAACAAAGTTTTCCCATCGAAAAATATTGATTT